GTGTGTGTGTGTGTGTGTGTGTGTGTGTGTGTGTGTGTGTGTGTGTGTGTGTGTGTGTGTGTGTGTGTGTGTGTGTATCTATCTATGAAGAGCCATTTGAAAGGAGAAGATCACTTTCTCAATCCATCTCCCGAGTGGCTAAATCTTATTTTCTTGTTCTCTGCATCATTCCCTCAATCTCATCTATTATCCTCTTCACTGCCGCTCTTTCACCCGTCTCTCAATCTGTCCCCGTGAGAGCTGAACGAAGGGATGCTTTGTGCACGTTCAGCAGTATCCGAGCCAACTGAGGAAAGTTATGCGACTTACGTTGACTGATGTAATAAAAGGAACGTACAGTGAGCAAAAAGAGAGGATCCCCCAGATAGTATCTTATATTCAATACTGTAATACGGCTCATTCTCTTGAGGAGCAAAAACATACTGGAAATACATTTAAACATGCATTTTTATTTATTTAGGGCACATTGATCAACATTACTTTAAAGGGGACCTATCATGCAAAATGCACTTTTGTACGTCTTTTATACATGAATATGTGTCCCCGGTGTTCCAGGGAACTCACCAAGTGTCAGAAAACACAACCCTCTCTATTTTCCTCCATACCCAAATCTCTAAAAAAGGGGCTGCAACGGATCTGATACAGACTGATCCAGATTTGAACACTGTCCTGACGTCAGGACGGTGGCGCTACGGCTATTGGGCCAACTCCACCAATCAGGAGGAGACAGCCACGGCCATTGCCGTTCGAAAGCGCTGGAGACGCTGTAGTACATATGCCAGGCCTGTAGATGGTACTGTTGCTCACAGAATCAACCCTTCCAAAAACAGAGCTAACATTTTTCAAATTGAGCGAAATGAGGCATGGCTAAAATGCATGATCTGTTTGGTATTTTGAAAAAAAAAAAGTATAAATATGCCTTATACTGTAGGTATGGTCCTACACTATATTATTCAAATATAGCATGATAGGTCCACTTTAAATATTTTAGAAATAACAGTATGATGATTTTAATAGGATTAGGCCTGTATGCAGCAAGATGCTCAATCCATATTCATAAATATTATTCTCTGGGTCCCGCTGAGCAAAGTAACTCCTCAGACTTGTTGTTCACCTCCAGTTTCCTGAGTGGATATTTTTTAGGTAACAGCAGATTTAATGAGTGTGACTCTGAAAATTGATTTTCTGTGGGTGGCTTGATTTTTGTTATGCCTGATTAACCAGAGGTGACGTGTCAGTGATGCAGAACTAAAGCAGTTTTGACAGGTGAGAAGAAAATGAAATATTACTGACAGCTGTGAGTAATGTTCTCTTTTCATAAATGAACCAACCTGAGTTTGTAAATCCTAATATTATTGATGATGTGAGGAATAACACTACTTTATAATGAAGTGTGTATAGGCTTTAAACCAGTTAAGCCCTGAGCCTGTTTTTCAGGTTTCAGGCTTGAAAATGACATGCCCAGAACAAATGACTATAACTTCACTTCTAAAAGGGTTAAATTAATAATCTTTATTCTCAAAGCAAGGTTACATCTGTGAGTTGGATGTAGAAGTGTCAGAATCAATATAGATGTTTCTGTGTCAGAGTAAATTCAGATGGAACATTGTAAAAAAAGGTAAATTCTTACCTCCGCCTACAAAAAAAACATTACTTATAGTGAAAACCACCCTTGGATGATAGGTTAGTAGACTAAAAGCTTTAGGAATCCAAACTACAACATATAATAAGTACCCTGTATCAAGATTGATGCAAAACAAGTGACATTTGACCTCTTTAGAGAGATTTATAAAAATAAAAATAATATGAAATCTCAGTTTTTTACATAAAAATGCAATGATGGATTATCAGTAATCCTTTCAAAGTGACACAGACACATTGGATTAACCTTCAGCGGCGTCTTTATCATTTTAATGCCATTGAACACGACTATTGATCAGAATAACAGCTAATTTGAGACGCCTCGTTGGAGATTTCTCTTTTTCCATTTGTTTCTTCCGTCATGCGGTTCCCGGAACCAAAATGGACCGGAGCTCCTCACGCACCAGGAGGGGTGGGGACCTTTAGCGTAAATGTTCAACTAACAGGGAGTCCCCTGGTTGGTAATAGACGAGTTGGGATCGCGGAGAAATTCTCTCCGCAGACCCATTCTCACAGCGTTTATTTTCTTACTCAATATCAAGCCACACTTATTGTTTTTACTTCGGCTGTGAGTGTTTGTGTGTGCTCAGGATGAGTTTCGCTGTGTCTCGCTGTATCGCAGACTCGGAAACCACACCAGTAAGCCAGCTCAGTGAGCAGCTAGCCTCGCAACGTCCCAACCAATCAGAGCACACTGGGCTCACAGGGAGGGGGGGGCAGGAGCTCCAACAAGCCGTTTAGGACAGAGAGTGAATACACATACTTTACAGAGATGCTGTATGAGAAACCAATGTGAGTTTGGAAAATTGCACAATTTAAATCTATTTTAGTAGACCTCAACAATGGAATTATGATCAGTAGAAATGGCCATGACATGGGACCTTTAAAGATGGGTGATTTCAATTGTTTTACCTTGAGAACGATCCTTTTCTGCAGGGATTTGTAATAGTAATGTCTTTTAGTAGTCCGCTGTATGGAGAATTGCAATTAATTATGTCTCCCAGTGTCAGTGCAGTCTCTTATGTTAAGTCCTAAGGAATTATCCTTCACTTCTTTCCTTAACCCCATGACGTTTCTCACTGAGATTAAGGAATAGTGGTCTTAAAAAGAAGTAGGACCTAGTTTTTGGGGGGGTAATATGGCACCAATGTTTTTGGAATAAATCTGGGGCTCTTTGGAAACAGAACAAGAAACTTTAACTACAAAAGCTTGGTATAAGTTTATCACCAACTTTTATTCAACTAAAGTTTTTCCTATGGTCTCCACTTCTTAGAGTACGACTAAAAATAACAAGTTTTCAGAACAAAAACGATGACATGCATTTTTCATTTCAGATCAATTCTCGAGTTTCCTCTCTAAATAAGGTCCCTTAGCAAGTGGCAAAAGTGCCGACACAACAAATTATGAGCTGTGCCACCTGTACTGCCTTCATGCTGATGAATAGGAGCCGTGCTCATAGCTGTGCACCTGCTCAAAACTAGGGAGCCTGTTTTTGAAAGTGTGTGTGTGTGTGTGTGTGTGTGTGTGTGTGTGTGTGTGTGTGTGTGTGTGTGTGTGTGTGTGTGTGTGTGTGTGTGTGTGTGTGTGTGTGTGTGTGTGTGTGTGTGTGTGTGTGTGTGTGTGTGTGTGTGTGTGTGTGTCACAATGTGAGTAAAAAACTAAATAGAGCATATAGTGTTTGTTTTAAAAAGATCAGATGTTATCTCTTCTTTGTAAGCTGTGCTGTTCTGTAGGATAATACTTCAAGTGTGAATCTATACGCCTACTGCCTGAATCTGTTTTATGGTTCTCACTTTCTTTGGTTAATTTAAAAAAAAATATATATATAGGTGAACCTGTATGTTGATAAAATAGTGTGCGTGAGCTTAACTGTGTGTATTAAACTAAAATGGAGCATTTTCTGTCAGCTTTTTCAAACTGTATGTGGTCAATTGTTTATGGTGTTAGTGTAGGCTACTGCCTGAATGTGCTTAATGAAAGGCAAGTTTTCCTATAAATATAATCTCTGAGCAGAGGAAATATCTTGTTGATTTTTACTTTCTCTTGGATTTGAGGTTATCCAAAAGCAAGTTATCCTCCCATCACTGGTTTTGTGTGTGCTAATGAGACAGCTAATGAGGCTATTAGGAAGCTAATGAAATGCATTCAGTATCTGTAGTACACACACACTTACAAACTCACTTCTCTCTCCAGCTTCGTGTAAACAAATTTAGATTTATTTGACTATGAATATGTTCCAGTACTGCATACACCGTTTTGATGGTTTCTCATTAGTGTCTCTTCCTCTCGTCTCTGTCTGTCATTCTGTTATTTGCTGTTTGTTCTCCCGGCACACTGGAAAGAAACTAATTAAACGGCCTATTATAACCATTTCATTTCATGAACCCGTTTACACATTGTGGAAGAGAGTCATCTACCTAGAGGTCCTGGAAAGGGAAATTCAATTTCCTTTCATCAGAGAAATCAGAAGAAATGTCAAACTGTTGTGTGAATTTCTGAAGCTTCCTGTCTTTTGTAAAAATGAAACGCCTGCTTGTTATTTACTCGTCTCTCATTCTCTTCAACAGTTTTCACAGATTGATATGTCCAACAAAATAAAACTTTTGGTTATTATTGAGGTGAAGTTAGATTAATGGATGATTATTATTCTTTTGATTCAAATGCATGTGTTAGTTCTTCCGGTTTAGCACAAAAATGGCCTGTAATCTCCGCTATGAGGAATTACAAAAAGTACTGAAACACACCGGCCGGCTGGACACCATACTAAAGCTCATGTGGACAGATTACAATAACTCTCACTGCCAGAAGGTTGGACAAAGGTCAACAGTGTGGAAATGTATAAAAACAAGTTAACCTGGAGACAAAAAATAAATTAACCTGTCAAATGTGCTACCTAACTAGCAAACAAAGCTAACAAGCTAACTACCAAACATTATCTATCTACTTTGCATACTCGCTAACGTTAGTACGCGTAAGTAGTTAGCTAGCTTACGTTAGCTGACCATCTAACAAGCAGGCTAGTGGAAATTAACTATCTACTTTACAGGCTATAATGATTGCTATCTATTTAACATGCTAGCTAGCGAATGTCAGCTTTGTAGCTAGCTATTGTCAAATTTGTGGTTCTCAAATCGTTAATTCGAATGATTATTTAACGCCCGATCGCGTTAGATCGAAGGAAGAACCAACACAAAACAAGGGCAGTGTGGAAGCTCTATTGAGCAGGCTAGCATTGGTGAATATGTTCCACAAGTCACTCAGGGTTTCACTGATGTAATGTCTGGATCTTATTTTGTGTAAGGCGCTTGTTTGATTTTCGGTGTACAAGAGATTTAATTCCTTTTTTTCTGTTTTTACAGGAACCTTGGAAAATCAGGACTCAGAGTATCTTGCTTAGGACTGGGTGAGTAGACTCTTCACTACACATAATGCAATTTCTCTCAATACAAACAAACAGTACTAATTACATGGACTAAACAAATATACTACTGTATAACGAAATAAAAACATCTCAGAGTAAAACAAAATTGAGAAATGTTGTGTAAGCATCAGGCTTGGGGAGTGACGGATTATATGTAACTGCATTCAAATCAGGATACATGAAAAAAAACTAATCGGATTACTGGTACCATTAAAATATAGGGGATTAATAGCAGGATTACAATGTTTCAAGACTAATACAAATCGATATATTACAAAGCACATGCTGTGGGTGATCTTAATCCAGATGCTGTAGTAAACTAAACCTTCCAAAGTCCAGGTAATTTATGTATTTCGCAGATGTATAAGAAATATATTGGATCGTTGGTCTTGTTATAAAATGGCAAGGAAGAAAAAGTAAGATTTTGAAGTGTGCATGTTCTGCGTTTAGGTTATGACACAGTAGTTGCTGAATGCTAAACCGATTTACTTGTTAATTCCACCCGTAAGAAGATTTATACAGCATTGTTTTCTGGGATGAGATAACATTCTTTGCATAAACCCAAATTTGTAAATTCCTAGAAAAGATTGTAGCTCTGGATTAGACCCTGCTGCGTGTTGCTCAGAGTCCCTTGAGGGCTCAGATCAGCCAGTAAATCGGATAAAAAACATCCAGTTCTCTAAGGACATGAGCTTTAGCCAGATTAGGGAGGCTGACCTTCACCGGGATGTTTTGCACACCGTCCAAAAACATGCAATGCTTCGGTTAAAGTTTAAAAAAAGCATTGAACAGACAGGGAGGATATTCTGTATGTGTGAAAATATCATGTTTTCTGTACCTGTTTTTAGAACACGATTATATAAGGAAAGATACATGATAACAGCCTTTTTTCATGACATTATAATCACTGGAGGCATCATTTTCAAGGTCCTTTAACATACATTTGATCTCTGTTTGTAATGTTAGGATTGACTAAGTCTAACCTCATTAAAACTTGAGATCCTATATCAGGACATTGACTTTACATTTGACACGCTCTCTAGTCCTGCTTGAGCTAGTGTTTGATAAGTTGTCAGCACTCTCTTTAAGCTGCATCCTTAAATAACCCTTGATGGTCTCCTCGAAAATGCTACAAATCTCTCCAGATGCTTTGGAGCGCTACATCCACTAAATAAGAGTCCTCGTGTTTACAAACTGAAAGCTGCAACTCTCCACAGTATACCTGCCGTACAGCGCACAGTGGAAATGTTTCTGTTTTTCTATTTGACTTTGACAGCCCTGACTTGATTGACATTTTGCAAGGCAATCCTACCCTTAAAATTGCTCATGTATGTTTGACCTTTCTGTGCAGATGTGCATACGAGAAAGCTGGGAAGTGGGAAAAGTTCATCTCTGCTTTTTCCATCAGTTAGAACAATTGGATGTGCTTTTTGTTGATTGAGACGATTGAGAAAAACTAGCAGGCACAATTTATTATTTATAGTTAAAGGTAGGGTAGGTAAGTTTGAGAAACCGGCTCGAGATCGCTAGAATTTGAAAATACACAACCGGAGAAAATCTGCCACTTCCTTATAGAGCCCCTCCTCCAACACACACGAACGCGCACATGACCAATGAGGGCACGAGATAAGTTTGTGCACAGATGGAAGGCTGACAGGCAGGTAGGCCATCCAGTTATTTTAGCCGGGCCGGCTCAGATGATTGGTCGTGCTTTTTACAGCGCCACGGCTTCCACAGATGACATCTTTTGTATGTATTTATTGTCAAAGCATTTAATATATTCATTGCTATCGGGATGTTAAGAGCATTCCATGGAATATAACAAAAAGTGTATCTCGAGCCGGTTTCTCAAACTTACCTACCCTACCTTTAATACGTTGAAGGGATTTTTAATGTTTAAATAGGCCCTATTATTTTTAGGGTTTTATAGTCTTTGTGCATGTAAATTGTCCTCCAGAGGGAACCATACATCCGTGAACATAGTGACATCACTATGTAACAGTCACGCTTCTTTTGGCTAGCGCTCCAACATATTGTACATGATAGGCTAAGGGGCGGGACATCTCTAAGCCATTGACCAATCACAACAGAGCCGGCCAGCTAACCAATCAGAGCAGACTGGGCTCTGGTTTCAGACAGGGGGTGAAAAGAGGTGCTGCAGCACAGGCGGTATGAGAAAAATAAAGAGCTTTTGAACATTAAAGCATGGAACATCACTTTATATCAGTCAATACTGATTATCTTTCTGTGCCATGGCAAAATACAGTTTTCAACCAAATGGATTATCTCTGGTGTTGTCATTGGTAGATTCAACACAAAGGAGGGCTGTCGTTTTTTCACAGTGTAATGCCTGGCTCTCAGGGTGGCTCTCACAGACTGGGAGGTCTGACTCTCTCTGGCTGAGATGCACTGTACAGAAAATGTCAGCATAATGCCAGCTGCCGACCACATGCTGCGCCCGGGGCGGACATGATGCTGGCAGGGGAGCGGAGGAAGAGAGAGGGCCAAGAGCAGGACGCTAAATGGTGTTTACCTGGAAGAACAACACCAAGATAAAAGAGGTTGTAGTGTGTATGAGTTGTGTTGAAAGTGGTATTATCTGTGCTTGCTGGATTAGCTGCACTGTGCTTTTGAAACTCTGAAACTTGGCCGCACACCAGGATGAGTTTTGGATGTAATACTCAAAAGGTTGTGTAACAATAAAGCAGCAAATTGACCTTTAAATATAGTGGCTGACTAACACCTTCTTAACTTTGTTGCTGCAAGGAAAGTGATTATGGATTGTAGCAGCATTCAGGATGCAGAGCAACATTAATCCATCAGCAGATTCAGATTTGAGCTGCGGCATAAATCATCCATCAGCTGACTAACCATTTACACGGCTCTAGTCGAAGAATTTATCACAGTTATTGCTTTTCTCTGCCATGAACTCCTTGCTGTTGATTGTTTTTGAAAAGCTCTATTATAACGTACCAGATCATTTTCATGGTACAATTATCTTTCACCCTTTCCATAGAGAAAAAATCCTGCATGCCATATTTAATTCACACATCAAATGTATTATTAATTTGCTATCAGACTTTTGGGGGTTTTCCCTTTCCTGTAGGCTTGCGAAACGTGTTAAATTTCCCAGATGAATCTCAAGCCTAACGTTGACAGCCCTGATATTGAGACTTTTAATAGATAAGAGGAATTGATACAGTCGAAATAAATCTTTCTTCCTCTCGTGCTCGACTCGTCCGCCTCTTGTTTTTTCTTTTCTCTTCCTGTGGGTATTATTCTCTCGGGACCCAGCTGCCGTTACTCGTGGCTTGTTATTTGGTTTAAAAGAGGTTGTATAGAGGTTAGCTTTGTGCTCAGGCAAGATCAAGGGGTCGCTCACACACTAACACACAGCTTTTGTTATACTGCAGGCAAAAGAAAAACTTGACATTTGTAGACAATAAAAACGATATATATTTTATCATGTATACGCAAATGAAAGAAACTTTTTTTCGTTTGCCACACACCAGTGTTGTATAATAACCAGTGGTGGAAAAAGTATTGAGATCTTACAGAGGTGAAAGCACTAATACACAGGCAAATATATCACTGTACTGCTCCCTGTGTTTCCTGGCAGCAGTCAAGATTGAGTAACCTTTTTTTAGAAATTAAATGTATTCCTATTAAAATTCAATCTCTATTGTAATAGCCTATTTCTGAGAGTCAATTCAACTCCAGCTATTTCCACTCTACTAACTATATAAAAAACGAATTTCACTTTCCAGCAGAACCTAATTTAATATCAGTTCAATTGTAAAAGCATCGGAGAAAGTCACATACTGTTAACACCACACTCTCTCTAAAGTGTGAAACCTCTCAGCAGTTAATGGTGACTGAATGGATTCATAAAGAACTGATGATCCCTCCAGTGAGCCTGGTAGTCTATTAATCGATAAATGAAGTGATTAGTGAAGTCAGTGTGACCTCTCAGCACTTTCACCATCTCTTCATCCACTGATAAGACCACAGGGAGGAATGCTGTCAACACACACACTGCTGCCGATGATGCTAATTGGTTGGGGGATATGGAAAAAGAGAGCATTTGTGTCTGTTTGCAGGTGCATTTTAAATGGGTGAAAAGGAAAGTTGATGCAGAAATGTAAAACGCCTCGTGATTGTGGCCATGATGTCGTCTTTTAATCAGGAGGTTGTGGGTTCGATCGCAGCCCCTACAGTCAGCATGTCTATGTAACCTTGGGCAATAAACGTAATCCCTACTTGCTGCAGATGGTGTGTGTGTGTGTGTGTGTGTGTGTGTGTGTGTGTGTGTGTGTGTGTGTGTGTGTGTGTGTGTGTGTGTGTGTGTGTGTGTGTGTGTGTGTGTGTGTGTGTGTGTGTGTGTGTGTGTGTGTGTGTGTGTGCGTGCGTGCGTGCGTGCGTGCGTGCGTGCGTGCGTGCGTGTGCGTGCGCGTGAATGTAAGCGCCCTTGAGCAGGTGGCACCTTACATGACAGCCTCGGCCTCTTTATGAATGGGGTGTAAATGGGTGAGTGATGACTTATAATGTTAACACTCTTTAAGGACTCGTAAAGCTTTGATAAAGTGCCATATAAATACAGTCCATTTGCCATTATTCAAGCCACCAGCAGTTCCTTTTTTCCTCACCCCACGCACATGCAACACAGGTTCAGGTTTCTGCCCTTGCTCCAAGCTGCGGTGCTAGTGATTGATCATTCTTAAAATGGTTCTCCCAGAGATATCCTGCAGAGAGGGTGGACCTGAGGGTGTGTCGCTGTGGTACCTTTGCAGAGTGAGTTTACTAATATGTGCTGGAGCGCCTTCTCCCTCTTCTTCTACAGCGCTTGCCTTTCCATTTTCTACTTTTTCTTGTTTACCTACAATACATCTGTTAAGGCAGGACACAAAATCATCACCTTTCAGACTTGGTGCTTACATAACGGTGCTTCTTTCAGACTAGTAAAACGAAAACACATCCACAATTCACATCGAGGTGTTGGTTTTTACTTACTCTGTCTATTGCATTTATAGATTTATAACAAATGCATTCAACAAAACAGTTCAGAATAATCGTCATACAAACACAAGTATTGTCTTAATGTTAGTAGGAATGGGGAAGTTGTATGCTGATATCTATTTGTAAACTGTTTCCTCATTTCATTTCATTTCAAACCTTAATTTAACCAGATAGGTCCCCACAGCTTTCTAGTTGAATATCCATCAATATTTTGAAGGTTGTTACCGAGGGGTTTGTTCATATATTATAAACAGCCTGGTTTATATAAAATGTATTCCCAAAAACATGTCAATGGCTATTGGCAGTATTTTCTGATTTATAGAGTAATACAGACAGCGAAATAAAATTCCCTCTGTAAAAATGTTTTACTATAATCCATCAAAGTAATTTAACAAAACATATTTGTATCCAATATTGACATTTCTGTTTGTTTGAATCAATGCAAACAAGCACATATTCATTAAGACTTCCTGTTTGCATATTTTAATAAGCAATTTCAGACAACTTTCAAAACAAAAATAACTTTCTTAATGGAAAGCAGTAGAAGTTTTACACAAATATTTACTCAAACTTAAAAAAACGTTGATCTCCTTCAAATCTATATTTCACAGCTTTGGGTCTCAGCGTTAATGTCATCACATATTCCTTCAGTACAAAGGGGATCATGCCACCTTAGACATGTGTCACTTTCTCATTGCTTTTGCCTTTTTCTCACCATACATTATAAATATTTTCTCTGATAGACACTTCCCTCTCCTGCTGAAAAAGAAAGTAGTCCTCACATTGAATTCGACTTATTAAATGTTTTGTTTTGCTATAATCAGTGAATAGTATCAGTCCAGCTGTGATGATTGTTGTTGATCATAACTGTACAGTGTGTGGCCGCAACAATATGTAAAAAAAAAATGTGATGCAACTAAATCCAAAAGCCTTGCAACACATAGCAATGCTTATTATTTTCTACTTTTGACAATTGATTACACTTTGATCATTTGTGAACCACAGTTTGTGATGCGGTTTCTCTACTGTTATGTCAACCAGGGTGAGAAAGAATAACAGACAGCACATTATGTTTGTGTTGTATTACATTATAAAGAGTTTCTATTGTTGTGTCCGCCCCCGTCAGACCTCTGCTTTAAGAGTAAAGAAGCAGGAACAGATTTAGATATGACAGACTAAGGCGATTCAATAGAAGAAATCAATAGAACTTGAAGAGGCGGTACAACGGCATTCAACAAGTCTGAAAATACTGTCGGTGCAAAGCATGGCGTGTGTGAGTGTCTTCCTTTAACTCACATAGCCACATCCTTAATACTTGAAGAAATGCTACAAAGTATATCAGGAGATTTCAAATGTAAAACCACTTCACAGAAACAGACTGTTAAAGTTGTAAAGAACAAGACAAACGGAAACTAAATGATGAGATGGAGTTGAGGTGTCATATATTTCGTTTTTTAGGTCTGTCCTGAGTCCTTTGAACCTGATTCCTCGGTGTTGAATCCCATCTATAGAGCGAGAGTTGGCACACATAAAGATAAAACGTTTCTCACCGGTGTCTCACTTTAACTGACCTCCTAACTTTCTTTTACAGCCTTGTCCAGCCTGTCTGTCCACAGATAGAACGGCTGAGTTATTTTTTTGTTGGATTAATTTCCAGCGCCATTAAAAAAAATAAGGGAGAGTAGATGTCTGAGCTGGCAGAGCCTGCAAAGTATGGGTTTATTGATGAGAGACACAAAGAGGAAAGTTATAGGTGGACTTGGCTTATATATGGAACACTTTTTACAGTTAACAGGCACTTTCTGGCAGTATTACATCTTGAACAAAGATGGTTATTCAGTATGTGTCTTCAACACCACCAGCCGTTCTGTAGTATGTTATGAACATACAGCTCATACAGCTACCTTATGAATGAAAACAAACAAATGAACCAAAGAAAGTGAAAACCATAAAGCAGATTCAGGCAGTAGGCGTATAGATTCACACTTGAAGTATTATCCTACAGAACAGTACAGTTTACAGAGAAGAAATGTAATCTCATCCTTTCAAAACAAACACAATATGCTCTTTACTCTTTACTAATACTGTAATCCTGCTAGTAATCACCTGTGATTATAATTTTACTGCAAATAAGTGAAAGGGCTGATTGCACACACACACGCACACACACACACACACACACACACACACACACACACACACACACACACACACACACACACACACACACACACACACACACACACACACACACACACACACCCTTTATACATGTGAGAAAATAACAAAAACATTTCCTGTATAATCAGGGCAATCCGTAATGACTGCAGTGTAGGTGCATTTGAGGTTGAAGGATGTTGCCATGGTCACCGGTGTTAACAATATCCAAAAGCGACTTTTCTATTTCACCCACTCTCCTCTGCAAAAACAAAAAAGGGGAAAAAAGGAAGCGGCACATTGAGAACTGCAGCTTGGACCTCCTTATTAAGGAGGACATAGTCTGCTCATCTTCAGGTTCATTTTGTGTCTCTACTGAGACATGTCTCCATGCTTTAATGTTCAAAAAGCTCGTTATTTTTCTCATACTGCCTGTGCTGCAGCACCTCTTTTCACCCTCTGTCTGAAACCAGAGCCCAGTCTGCTCTGATTGGTTAGCTGGCCGGCTCTTGTGATTGGTCAAGCGCTTAGAGATGTCCCGCCCCTTAGCCTATATTCCTGAAGTAAATAAAGTCCAATGGAGGCGTTTCAGGCAGGGAGAGAAACTCCCTCTTGAATGAACTTTAGGATTGTAGCCTTTGCAGACCATTAGATGCACAACAACCTATATAACACACTACCCCACAAAGCAGAATAGGGCCTCTTTAAGTGAGGGTCACATCATTATGCAGCAGCAGATCCAGTGTGTCTTCTGTGAGCTAAACCTCAGTGGAGTTGATGGTATGGTGTTATTAAATGGTTTAGTGCTGTTTCCGGGTCTCCGGTCTCTGAGGTGCACCAATTGTTTTATGACAGTGGAGCAGTGGAGGTCAACAGAGTCGGAGAGAAAATCTTTTCCATTTATTTGGTGTGAAATTGTGAGCACTCAGGAAGAGAGTGAAATTGCCTCAACAGGGAGATAAAGAGAGCAGGATTATGGCCTGAATGGACTCTATAAATATCCCCAAAAACATGATTAGCTGGACGGGGTTCGTTGGGGTGAACAATAGGAAGGAATATTTTTTGTTGCTAAGAAGACATTCATAATTAATAATAATAATAATATTAATAATAATAAATTCAATTTATAAAGCAACAGCAATCCCAAGGTGCTACAGGAGGCATAATAAAAACAAACTAAATAAACTAAAGTTTTAATCAAAAGCTTTTTTTAAAAGAAAGGTTTTTAAGCCTTTCTTGAAGGCGTCAGTGGTCTGTGGAGTCCTCAGGTGGTCTGGGAGGGAATTCCACAGGCGAGGAGCAGCTGCACAGAAAGCCCGATCCCCCATTGTGCGTAGTTTGGTCCTGGGGGGGCGAAGTAGATGGTTGGTTGTGGAGCGGAGGTTGCGTGTGGAGGTTTGATATGTGAGAAGTTCCTTCAGGTATGGAGGAGCGTTCCCGTGGATGCATTGATGGGTCAGTAGTGCGATCTTGTAGTCGATCCTGAATGAGACAGGAAGCCAGTGGAGGGAATGAAGAACGGGTGTGATGTGGTTGTACTTTCTCACCCTCATCAGGATCCTAGCGGCACTGTTCTGTACATATTGGTAAGAAAGAAAATGACATAAAAACGGAAATTGATGTTTATTTGTTGTTGTTCAAATAATGCAACAAATGTATTAAAATAGGATTTAACTGTCTCTCGTCTTGAAATCAATGGTTTATTTCAATGTGTTTTCGGTTGTTTGCATGAAATACGGTTGGTGGTTAACACAAGGTGAAGAGATTTTAAGTTTGTTCTACGACATAAAATAGATCAATAAATCCCCCCTGGTCAATATAAAAACTGCGTTTACTGAAAAGTGTTTAAAGTGGTGTTAATATGTGGAGATTATCCTGCTGGACCAAACATGTAAGTTTCATAAACATTTGTTTGCCACAGAGAGGGAGCCTGTTACGATGCTAACTTCCAGGTTAGCCTCCAAATGATGTAATGTAGGTACTTTCCCTCAGTTAAGAGAAATTGACAATTTCACAGCAACCTTAAAGTCACTTACGCAGGACACACACACACACACACACACACACACACACACACACACACACACACACACACACTCTTAACAGCGGGGGACACAAAGTCTTTCAAATATGCATGACTTCAAACAGTCAGGAGGTGCCAACTCCCTGAAGGTGATCCCTCAGTATTGAGCCGCAGCTCTCTCAAGGGATGTTCACATCCTTCCTCTAACGATGGGGACACAGCCCAGGGATTTACAGTGTTTACAGCAGGATATCTCTCACACACACACACACACACACACACACACACACACACACACACACACACACACACACACACACACACACACACACACACACACACACACAGAAATAATTTCTTATGTTGAAATGTGTCTCTCTCTTCCCTGCAGGTACATGGGTGACGTTTGGGGGACAGATAACCGACGAGGTATGAAACATGTTTCCTTTATAATTTATGTTTATTTAATCTTAATTGGCTCTGACTCTGATTGATTGTGTGTTGTATATTTGTGATAGCTGAATGACTGGGTTGCAAAAGGTCCTAAAATGGAAGTGAACATGTCTTTGAGCGCATGATGGATAAATATAGATAACTATGCAACTACTACAATTTATTTGAAGATTGAAAGGTTGATCATTTTGTTTCACTTCCACCCTTGATTGTTTATTGCATGAGATGAGTTGATTTGTTATTGTATGTGTGTTTGGTTTATGTGTGTTTGGTTTATGTGGCTTTAGTGCAGGGCCGCTCCTCCCTATACGCAGAACACGCCCAGGCCAAAAAAAGTTGGCTGAACATTTGGGGATCAGAGTCCAACCATAGCTGAGAGCCGTTTTGGATGCAAACTGTAGATTTGTATTTGACCCAACCTGTACAAAATCATTAAGGAAATGGTTTGTTCAGCGTTTCAATCAGTGGTCCATCTCACATTCCTATTTTAAACTAATATATGCCCAGCTGTGGTCACTGTTAACCTTGGTCAGGCCGTTGGCTGGATGACAACGTTTTTATTTCCAGAGGCTCAGTTGACCCAGGACAGAGTTTTTGAGCAGAGAAAAAGGACACACTGAGGAGTTAACAGATCATGTACTGTATGCTACTAATACTTAACGCCCCTTTACACTCATGGTTATTTAGTGGGAATGCTGATACAGCATTCCCACTATATGTTATGCTGCGGACAAAATTCTTATTATTATTCCATCCAATTATTTTGGCCCTCTTCTCCTCCCACATTCAACATCGCAGAAACTCCGTTCAAACATCAAAATGTTCAGCTCGGTCGGGAATCGATGGCTATTACTTTTATCATTCATAACTTTCATAATTCCAGAGATACATCCCATAATACATCACATTTTTAACCAATGAAGTCAATGGAGAAATTCTTCAGACTTCAACAAATCTTCATGCGACTTCAACTGCTAACTGTTCATTCATACTTTCACTCAGAAACCTCATTCCAACTAGAACCGCCAGAGATTTTTTATACCTAAAACCGCCACCTGGGTCAAATTGACCCGCTATTAGAATGCATTGATTTTCAAGTTAAAATGTTCTTTTATTGAACAGTGAGTTTTTATCGCACAGGGATGAAACGTATACCAATATAATCTGTGGACTCTCAGGGCTCGACATTATAAATGGCCCGCTGGGCCGGAAGCATTATTTAGACACCGCGGCCAGCATAACGTACTTTCAACTCGCCCCACAGCTGTTTGCTGCGGAGCGCAGCACGAGCAGTCTCCCGCTGTTTGCTCACGGGAGCGCACTCCTTCACTACAGACTGTCTCTATCTCTCTCTCTCTCTCTCTCTCTCTCTCTCTCTCTCTCTCTCTCTCTCTCTCTCTCTCTATCTATAACTATCTATCAATATATCTATCCATCTATCTCTCTCTCTCTCAATCTATCTCTCAATCTATAAGGAGCCGCAATAGACAAAAGGCGTTGCTATAGCAACACGTCATGTTTATATGAAAAGGGGTGGGGTCAATATGACCCGCTTGGCGGAAATAGGTATAAATGGCAATTTTTTGGGCGATTTCTTCAATCTGACTTCATATTGACAATTTTTAACAACATAGGGTGCTACATAACACACTTTCAGGAAAAGTCACGGACTGGAAGACTTTAATATTTTATTGAAAAAAAGTTACACACAATAAAAAACAGCTCTGGGTCAAATTGACCCGATTGGCGGTTCTAGTGTTAAAATGTTACACATCTTTCTGACATTATTCGTGTAACACAACTTTTAAATCTGATTCTTACTTTTAGAGATATTAAACATTGTTCAGACCTTGGTAAAGAAGCTTTCTTCAGATTTTAACATTAACTAGAGTGCGTGATGTCACAGCTAGAGTGGAGGAAATCTTGAAATTTGCCTTCATATTTTTTTTTTAAACTGCCATAATTCCCAAACCCTACATTCCTGAGACATCATTTTTCATGACAAACGTAGGAAAACATCGCGTAGCTTGAAAAATGACAAATAATTAAGCAAAATAATTAAACAAAATGCCTCTTGAGGGCATGAAGTGACAAAAACTTTCAACATGCCTCCATTAAAACCCATTGTAATTTCAGGCTGATATTTCCTCACGGTAGCAGCCGCACACCTTTAGTTAAACTGCCAAAAAGGCCACATTATTAACCTGAAAGTACACAAAAATTACACTTCAGATACTCAACTTCCTTGACATGCTTCACGTTTTGAAATTTCACAGATATCTGTTACGGTTCTTCGACAAAACATGTAAGAGGTTTATCTCTCATTCAGAACAATGGAAACCTTTGATCTCTGCACACCTCGTTAGCTTAAATAAATGGAACACGATGATGTCATAACACACAGGTGTTCGTGTTTGAGCTAACGACGTGGTCACTGGAGTTTAACAGACTGTCTGAGCCTATTCTTTTCTGTCTGATGGAGACTTCATACTGACTTCAACATGTTCCACCTATTTTATACATTATTGGTGACACACAGCTGTCGTCGTTAGCTCAAATATAAACACCAGTGTCATGGAACACGATGATGTCACATTGACAGGTTTGGTAACGATGCAGCCATCAACGCATCTAAGCGTATTATGGGGTGTATTATGAAGCACGATGTCGCTGTAAGTCCAATGGACACGGTCCGATCGTCCCCCAAACTTCGCTTGTATATCACCGGTCCAGCCCTCATCAGCTCTACGTCAATTATGGGGTTTCTTCAAATGCCGTTGCCATGGTAACACAAGGCTCGCCATGAAACACGGTTTTCTCATAACTTCAGTGAAAACGTTCCAAACAGCCCAAAACTTCACAGGTTTGGTAACGATGCAGCCATCAACGCATCTAACCGTATTATGGGGTGTCATCAAATGCCGTTGCCATGGCGACAGACCACTCACCATGAAGCACGATGTCGCTGTAAGTCCAATGGACACGGTCCGATCGTCCCCCAATCTTCACTTGTATATCACCGGTCCATGCCTCAACAGCTCTACGCCAAATCTGAGATCTCTCCATATGCCGTTTCCATGGAAACCCATCCCTCGCCATAAAAGACGATGTCGCTATAACTCCTATGAAAATGTTCAAAAAGTGCTCAAACTTCACATGTGTGCTAACAGTCCAGCCGTGAAGACATCTACGGGACATGCCGTTGCCATGGCAACACAATGCCCGCCATGAAACACGGTTTTCTCATAACTTCAGTGAAAATGCCCCAAATGGCCCAAAATTTCACAGGTTTGGTAACGATGCAGCCATCAACGCATCTAAGCTTATTATGGGATGTCATCAAATGCCGTTGGCATGGCGACAGATCATTCACCATCAAGTTAGTTCAAAGGTTTGCAGTTCAAATATTCTGCTGCTTTTCCAAGCCTTTTTACTCTCTTTTCTTCTCTCATCACACATTCAAGCCCCCAGTGTTCATGTATCATTTCAATCTAAATTCTTCACTTTCTTCTTACATATTACATTTCAGCATAGCAGTTTAGCATCAGATTTTCAGCATAAAGCATTCCCACTAGCAATTTCTTCAGGAATTGCATTCTCTAGTTAACTCTAAAGGCCCTGACACACCAGGCAGTCACCAGAGAACTCGCCGACACCCGACACCGACAGTTCCATCGACGAGTTCTCCTGCGTATTGGCCATGTGTCGCACTGGAAATCACCGCAAAGACTTCAGCCGAGCACGTACGAACTGCGCATGCGTGAGTGGCAATAACTCTCCTTACCAGCAGGCGGCGGTAGTGTGTATTCGTCATTCAAAATAGGCAACAACCGGAAGACAGAGAAGAAGAACAGACTGATATAAACAAACAAATAGCATGTGCATTCCATTTTCACTCTCGTCCATCGAAAACATGTTTTAGAATATAAAAATACATGAATGATGAAATGAGCACATAAAGTGCAGACATACTATAAAATCACAGTAAATAAACCTGCATCTGATGATCGCAGTGTTCTGGCGGGTGTGTAGTTTATTGAGTCAGCAATGTAATAATGGCCACTTCTTGCTAAATTTACAATGAGATGAAAAACCGGACTTGACCAAACAAATCACGGAGCTCTCAGCAGAGGACAGCCGGGGACGCTCCTGCCGATATCAGAGATGTCCCTGCTATGTGTGGGAGGTCAGAGAGGACATTTAAGGGCTATGTTTGATGTCTTTAAGTATCACCTGCTGGTGTTTAGCTGCTGTCTTGTGCCTTAAATCGTTTGTTTACGTCCCTCACTTCCGTTTCGCTTCTCATTTGCTAGCTGAACAGCTGATCAGAGTGGTTTCTTGGCCCGATAGCTTGTGTCCAACACCCGGCCGATTCAACATGTTGAATTGGCCGGGTGTCGACCGTGAAAGGCCAAATAAGGCGTGTCACGGCCGAGGGTTCGGGACACACCAAATTGACTTTGGGCGTCAAGGAACCCGTTTTCGCCCAACAACGCAAGACGGCCGATATCGGCCTGGTGTGTAGGGGCCTTAACATGCTCTGATGTGGCTGCAGGGGTATTGGCCTTGGTCATCAAACACACACAGAAACACACACTTTAAGTGACTCTTCGGGTGACGAGAACAAAGCTCACCAGGGGAAACAGTCAGCTTATGTAACAGTATTACTTTTATTACCTTAAGGCTCAGTGCCATTAACTCACAGAGTACGCTTCACACTGCTCTCAATTACTCTGAACGTCCCCAGTTCAATGTCAGTGATATCACACAGTTCATCAATGAAGATTAATGCAGTAATTACTTTATGTCTCAGATAAAATCTGTTTTAAATACGGCTGTCAATCGATTATCTGATCCAGATACGCTTTGTCGAGTTCAACACAGTTATTATTTGTATCATTATAAGCTGTTGATAATAAAGTTCAGTGTTTATGTTGAGCTAAATACAAAGTGGTACTGGCTACCTGTGATGCTAA